CGACTGTGCCACCCAGATGCCCCCGTAACATATCTTATTATGCCATGGAGTAAGGAAACACTCTGGGAACAATTTGACTACCAAAATAATTAAGTACAGTAATGAATTACAAACCACTGAAAAAAATATAAAAAGCCCATGAGCCCATAATAATAATAGATAAATAAATGGGGGAGAAGGGTCCTCACAAAAGAACACTGAATGCCAAACGAGAAATGTAGTAGGAGGGCTGGAGTTACAAAGATTATCATTCTGCAGTCATCAGAGTAAAGACTGGTTCTGGCAAGAATCATCAATGGATCCTAAATCTAGGAGACATGTTTGATGATGAGCAGGATTGTGACGTGGTCATAAACTGTTTTCCCAAAGAATGCTCACTAGCTACACGGTCAAAACAGTAACTACAGAATGGAGAAACTGGACAACACTCTGACTTGGGTGAGTGAATTAAAATTAACATCTACAATGAGGGGATGCCCTGAGAAGGGCACATCACTTCATAGTAGTCTGGCTTGGGATAAATAATCTGAATCTAATCATGAAGAAACACCAGACAAACACAAACACAAAATAAGGAGCATTCTATTTTCAAAAGGATGTGGTGGGCATAGTCTTAAAAAATATCATCATCAATAAAAACAAGGCCATAAAAATGTTTCAGGTTCAAAGAGTCTAAAGGGACATGACAACTGACCACCACCACCTATTCCAGGACTGGATTCTGTCCTGGAAGGGGAAAATGCTTTTATGAAAGACATTTTTTAGATGAACTGACAAACTGGAATATGGGTGGCAGATTTAGTAAAAGTACTGAATCAGTATCAATTTACTGAAGTTGATAACTGTGCTATGGTTATAAAATAATATCCCTAAGTCATAGAAAACAGATGTGATGTTTGCAACTTACTTTCAAATGGTCCAAGAAAACACTTTAAATTTCCAAATAAAAAGCTAGAATAATAGCTGGTGACCTTTCCTGAGGCCTCGGCATTCTGTTTTTAAAAGCTTCACAGGATGGAGAACTGTCCAGAGCAGCAGTTCTCAAAGCGTGGTTCCTCATACTAGCAGCATCAGCACCACCCAAATCTTTCAGTTGTTAAACATGCACGGGCCTACTGGGAGGTGGGTGGGCAGAAATCTGTGTTTTGCCACACCTTCCATACGGTTCTGATGCCCACTCCAATTTGAAACCATTGACCTAGACTATGAGTTCCTACATTCTATATTTCTAGATCCTATATTCCCCACAAAACCTAGCAAAATACTTCATGCATAGTCCCATCTCAATAAATGCTTGAAGAATTCAGATCAACAATGAATGAGAAAGCAAAAAATGACCACCGGAGATGAGAAACTACTCTGAAGGGCAGAAGCATCTCTCCTGAGTTTCTAAAGTGAACATAAAATTTATTTTCAAAGCACGAAAAGGAAGCCAGATTACTTAGGTTGTTAGTAAAAGCACTGCTGTCCCAAAAGGGAGCATATCAGCTTACAGTTTAAGTCACACTCAACTAAAAACAGGTGATAACTTATGCAAGCTCTTAGACTAGTATTTAAAAATTAATTCTGTGGTTCTGGATAGTAAGGCACAGCGATTACGAAGCCATGCAGCGTGTTTCATGCAAGATCGGCTTGGAGAACACAGCATTCACATGGCTGTGATGCAGTCCAGATCTGATGAGGATGGCCAGATTTCAGAACATCCTCTAGGTGGCATTTTCAGAGATAAGACTCCTGTAATGAGAATGAGCTGATCAATTTGCCTACTGAGTAGAAAATGAAACAAATAAATCCATTTTTATGCAACTGTTTTCTATCTTGAGAAGTTAAACTGTTGAAGATACTCTGGGATGCAGGCTATCAGCCCAGCCTCACCACACGCCTTTTCTAATTGGCATCCTGAAAGATTTCACAGGAAAAGGGTGTTACTTTGGTATTGTTGATTTAAAGGTTATCTAGTCACAGCAAGGCAGAGGAGAATTCATCTTCAAAATTCACCTCCTTATTGAAAGCCCATGGAGTATCTTGGCAATTAACAATTCCTATCACCTCTAGCTGTTCCCTATGTGAGAAGGCTCAAACTCGCCTTACAAATTGCTCTTTTGAAGATCAAAGGCAAGCTGAATGTGTCTGTGTGTGCTCTCGATGAGACTGTAATTTAATGGAATTTTTAGAAAAGGCTTGCTAGCAGTGTTTGGATGACAGCCCTGAGGCGGAGGATTCAGGGGAGCTTGGCCACTCTTCCCTTTGGTGCGTCTTCCCTCTCTTTAATTGGCACCTCATTAGAAATTAATGAAAATGACATCCTCTGTTCTTCCTGCTCTAGGCATCGAATGCTACAAAAAGGCCCATCACAATTCATAACACATTCAATTTATATAGCAATGGCTCTTAAGCATTATTTATGAGATGTGAATTTCTTGTCAGCAGTTAATAACCTGTACAGACTGGAAGGGGAATGGAAAAAGATTGTGAATATATATATTAAGAAAAAGATTTTCTGCAGTGGAGAAGTGTTCTGAGTTCAAACTACCTTCCCGAGTCTTTACTTCCTGTAGTAAATTACCATACCCCCCCTACCACACTCCCCACCCCAGTCCCAAATCTTTCAGGGCAGTTCAATGTCTCTTCAACACTCTTATGCATCCTCAAGGAAATAATGACACAACTCCCCATTTCCTAGAGAGAGCCGAGCAGACAGGCAGGAGGAACACAAGAGCTATTTGTCAAAGACAGTCTCAGAGGTGTAAGTTCCCACTGCTGTCCTTCATCTTTTAAAATGTGGCAGCAGACTCTGTCATTTTTCTGGGCATATAAGTGTAACACTCTCAGTGGGCCAAACTGAACTCCCGGCTCTCTCTAGGAAGGCTACATCTGGAGGGACTGCAGAAAGCTCAGGGCTTTTTCCCTAGCATTAAAATCAAATCTCTCTGTAAGTAGACCCTAAGAATTGGGCATAAGCCAAGGGATTATGTGTTAGATCATTTAAAAAGAATGCATGTCTGTGATAAACCCAACAGGTACTTTAGAAATCCAGCCTCCTGCCCAAGAGGTGAAGAACACAGTAGAATAATCTGAACTTACCAGCGACAGTCAACTGGGTTTCACTTAGGAGCACGTGAAATCATCTAACATATATTTCTAGATTTTATTCTGCTGGGTGCTTAAGACCATAGGCACTTTGGCGGTTTGCATCAAAGCTGAAGCATAAACTGGCACACCCGGTTATACCACCCCTGCATCTCTCAGTGCTAAAGTGTGAGTTCTCACTCCCTGCCTGACAAGGACAGCCACTGCCAGAGGCAAACGACACACTTAATGGATCAACTGCTTGATCCACTAGGGCAAATCCTGTGTAATACCCAGGATTCCATTACTTTCAAGAACAAAACAAGAATGTAAGGTACAGGAAAATCCCATGATTCTAATTTGGGAACAACCAAGGGCACGTGTTATAAAATCAACCGGCAAAATGGTCAGGTGGGCTTCACAACACTGATAACAGATGGAACACTGAAACCAGCCCCCTCCAATGGTTTGTGCGAAGACCAAAGCAAGAACTTGCAGACTATAAAAGATGAGACAAACCCTTCAATATGGGCAAGGCTGGTTAGCCACCATGCCCCAGAGTTTGCTCAGCTGACCACAGTATTCCTTCCCTATCTCACTGAGTGTTTAAGATTATCTGGCAGGGTTGATCAGGACGTAGTTGAAGAATAAGGTTCTGGCCTCTCTTGGGCCATGCCACATCCATGAACACAACGAAAGCTGCTGACAGCCTCTCCTCCCACCTTTTATCCTACCTCTCTTCTTTATACTTCCACACAAGCAATTAACAAGATAACTAAACGCCAAGCTTAAACAGTAAAAACTGGTCCAAGGGACTTCCCATGCTACAACAAACAGATTGCTGGTCTTGAAAGAAACAGGGGTTCCAACTCTGCTTCTATGAGAAGCTGGTACATCCTCCTTTCCTTCTCACTTCCAACAGGGTAAGTAACTGAGGCATGGGAGAAGCAATGGCCGCCTCTTCAGGAGATGAGAGATTTTGAGTTACTGATTTTCCAGCGGCTAAGAGAACCATCCAGTCCTGCCTGTCAGCATCAATACCTGCAGGGTGTCTATGGCTGTCCCAGGGGTAAAGGAGGCTTCTAAATCTTACTCCTAAGGACAAAGGACATAGGATTCTCAGTGTGAGAGCCACGTCTCCAGGTCTGCCTGATGACAGGTCTGTCCCATAGAATAATTTTATAATACTAAGCGTTAAATCAGGGAATAAAAACAGGAAAACTAAGTCAGCCTAAATAATGCAGCTACACAATTTTGCTTCTATGGGACATGATCTATGTGTTCAAAGGGAAAGAACTGGACTAAGTTTTGTTCTGCTGTGGGCAGGCATAAAGTTTTAAAACACATCCCTGGGCAGCAATTCTGAGAGCCAGTATTATACTGGATAACACAGAAGGAGTGTTACTTTAAAGCTATTTCAAGGGGTTAAACGACAATGAATTATGGTTCAAAGAAATAATTTTCCAATCAAACTTTCACTTAAAAGGGTATCAGGGGGAGAAGAGTTTCCATTTATTCTACATACTAAGATGCTCATTCAAAATTAATTTAATATCTGAATTTTATGATACATATCTGAGAATTTCACTGGTTTGGTTAATTTCTAAGTAAGTCATCAATGAACAGGAACCAGAGTAATACACGATAGGGAGAAGCTGAAAGCAGTAACCAGTGACAGTGCAACTCTAAAGTAGTAAGTGTTAAGAGAAGTGGGAATGTTTTTGCCTTTTTTTTTTGGTGGGCATGAGAGTAAATAAAGGGCATTTAGAAGGAAGACTCCCTCACTCCTGCTTTCATAAGCTCCAGCCCCATGGCTTGCAGGGAGGCACTCAGAAGAATGAAGGACTTCAGCCTCTTGAGAGGAATTTCCACAGCTAGAGCAGGGTGTCAAGGACACAAATCCCCGTCACACCACTGGGGGCGATGCTTACCGCAGCGGCAAGATCCCAATTCCTGCTGCACCAGCTCCAGTTTGGTTTGGCACTGGAAGCACCGACGTCGACTCTTCTGTTTAGATCGGCTGGTTTCCTCAGGTCGTTCGGTATTCTCCAGTAGTCGTGCCCGTTTCACTGGCGAAGCCTCATTCTCAGACTGTGAATCTGACCAAAACAACACATTTGGGGGTCAGGGTTAGTGCTTGGCCTGGCGAGCATAGCTAATTAATAATATACTGCAAGCTACTCTACTGCCCTCTTCCAGGAACTGGACTTGTGTGAGCAACAGCCAGTCCTGCCTGGCCTGGTTTATGCTGCATAAACTGTGACAAGCACATACCTGTAGGGCAGACTTCTAACAAGCGAGGTTTGAGCTAGAGAGAAGGTGGGCTGACTCAACAAAAATCAGTACCATGCTGTTGTTTTTAAAAACAGCTGTTTCTTTGAGGAAACCATTCAAGCTGGAACTGGGATTCTCTTCTTGTCTGTGCCCCTTCTTCGGGCCCTGGCAGCTTACTGCTTGCATTGGTTATTTACTGCTTCTTAGAGATCTGCTTGTCCTCAAGTACACTATAATTGTTTAGAAAAGGGATTAAGCCTAGTATTTCTTTTCATCGCCATGCTTATTAGCACAATTCTGTACCCGATGCAGTATTTGATGGGTGATCCAAAATCTTTTCTAGCAAAAATACTCATGTTTCTACTCTTAAATGTAACAACACAAAACCTAAGACATCAGGTTCTGCTGTTGAAAATTGTTTTAATTTTATTCAGAGCAAAGGAGCATCCTTGCTTATTCACAAGCAAGCTGTCTGTCCCGTGTCCTCCACTGTGGAGTGCTACAGAAGCAGCGCTCTGCACAACCACCCTGGCTGGTGCCAAACTGGTGTGTGGAGGGAGGGGTAATGTGTGACAACTCACGTTGTGTAGAACCTTAATAAGGTAACTAAAACACAATAAAGTTCCTGACATAGGCAGGCTGTAAATAACTCCTTCCATCAAGGGGGGGGGGAAAGAAGAAGGGCACAGGGTACTCCGTATTCTTGGACTTGCTGCCACTGTGGCATACTTGAGATGTACCTCTTGCCAAGGTTCCAAAGGGGTTTGTGCTAAACCCTCTCTGGAAGGAGTCTCCTAAATGATTTTTGTCAAAACAGATAGATCCAGATCCCACCACTTTTCACCCTTCCACCACTACCATCCTGATCCAAGTTACCACCATCTCACATCCAGCCCAATATAATAGCCTTTTAACTGATGAGCCAAGTGATCCTGTTAAAAATCAAGTTAGAATCACTTCACTTCCCTGTTCAAAACCCTTTTATAGCTCTCCTTTCCAGAGTAAAAGTTCAAATATCTACTACAGCACTCACAAGGCCCTGCATGATTTGCCGTCCTCTGTGCTCTCTTACCTCTGCTGCTGTTCTTTCCCTCTACTCTATCCACACAAGCCTCCTGATTGTCTCCTACCTCGGGGCCTTTGCACCTTCTGTTCCAATTGTCTAGGACTTGTTACCCAGATCTACATGGATCTCATCTCTTATAAGTCTTTTGAAGTCACATTTTCAACATCCTTTTCTCTGCTCACCCTATCTAGACTATTCATGTTCCCTTCCCCTAGCATGTACCCTCCTCCCAACTCCTGCCTTTTATTCCTCCACAGCACTGTACCTTTTAATATTATCCTCAAGGAGGATATAAAATCCTGCAGGGCAGGAAGTTTCACCTGCTTTGTTCATAATCTGCCTACAATGCCTACAACTCAATAAATATTTCTCAGATGAATGAATCTTCTCCTAGGCAGTTCTGATTTTTCTATTTAAAGTGGCCCTCATGAGAAGCAGCACACTTTTGGATGTATTTCAGTGGAGGCTTTGTACCTCTTCTCCCCCGCCACCCCCGCCCCATGTGAAGATGCTGCAGGTCACCAGGGAGCACTCACTGCCCTGACACTGAAGATACAAACAGCCCTGCCCCTCTTAGCCCAGCACACTGTGCACTGACTTACGGAAGGCAAACACCATTCTTACCAATTGTAAACTTCATTTTTCATCTCATTTAGTTCTTCCAGTCCTACATGACATTTTCCCCCAATACGAACCAACTAAACAAGGCCTTTGATGAAAACAATTGAAAGCAAGTTCAGCCTATTTCCCAGCTCTGCTGAGCGAAGCTGTCCAAACCCAATCGGTGTGATGACTGAGGCAGCCACAGACAGGGCCCCTTCCCCTATAACAGCAACAAGCAACAATCTAAATGTAAATCATTACAAAGCAGCCAGCCCAAAGGAATTCACCTCGTATGAGCCACAGTGCTCTCTGGGGGAGTTCTTTTATCACAAACCAGCAACAGCATAATTTGTATTAATAACTCTATTTAGACACATTTAAAAAAAAAAGAAGAGAAAATTCTAGAGTAAGAGCCATAACAAAAAAAAATAGTCTCTATTATGAGACAAGGTCCTAAATGTGGAGCATCCATAAGAGAAATTATCTCCCAACGCTGGGGCATGGGGTGGGGGAAGAGAGAGAGAGAGGAGTCCACACAAGAAGGGGAGGCTGTTGAAACCTCTGCATTATTAATACTGTTAAAATCCAGACGGCTTTTGACATGATGTCAGCATGCCTCTAATGTAAAAGAGGACCACTCAGATCCTAACCCTTTCATTCACAACACGATCTGATAGAACAGAGCATGTGTCTGGAAATAGAGAGTCACATTCAAAGCTGTTTTCCATATGACTCTGTCCCAAACTGTCAAACGTGTTATCTATCCATCCCCATTTTTAAAGCAAACTTTTGCTAAGGAGAACATGTTGTTTTTAGCATGGCAATACTATCCATAGCTAACTATTTTCAAATAGTTAGCTATGGATAGTAAGCACTGGAGGGATATGTAAGAAAATATTGTTTAATGTAGGATTCCTAAGATTGGGAAACAGAATTCGTATTTATGTAATCATAAACATCACTCGTCATTAATTGTAATCATCACTGGTCATTATCAAACAAGCCACTTGATGGGAAACCCAAATATTAGAGGAGGCCTGTGTTTTCCATTTCTAATTTCCTACTCTAATCTCATGCTGAAATTTCCCTTTCCTCATCCCACATTTTATATAAAGACTCAGAGTTATTTGTTCTGGTAGTCAGGAGGAATAGGACATTCCAGAAATTATGGGTCGTAAGGGTGTTTTCTGCTGCTGCTAACAGCTTCTGGGTGCACTGCCTTGGTCATCCTAAAAGACCACTGAGCCCTAGTCAGTTCTCTAAGAGTCAATGTCTAGGCATCTGGACAAGTCTAAGACCAAGGCATCCATGTATAGAAAGACTGAACCATGAGAAGCAGTCCTCAATGATTCTAAACCAAACAGATGAAAAGTGTATCAGAATGTGTTAATCAAGGAACTGTTCCTAGACATTAAGAGAGCTATGACTTTTACATTCTGGAATATGCCCACTTAATCTTCACTCAGTCAATGGTCTATTAAATCGAAAGGAATCCCTGTGCCTTCTAATGCTCCCTGCCACATTTTTCTTGTGGGGGGGGGGGCTCCCTAAACTGTTCACTACCCTCCACATGCTGCGATCCAGGAAGATGACTGTGTTATATATAACTTCTTGGAGAAGCAAACCATTCTTGACATTTTTTCACAAGTCAACTTAGTGTTTTAATTAGTAGCTAATGAAATAAATAGTGGTCTACAGGATCACCATCATGTCTGCATAAGAAATTTACATCTCCTGTGCTAATTACCTAATGAAACTTTGTGCCATGTGGTGAGCTCCCTAAATAAGAGAAACAGATGTCCAGGGCAGGGATTCTAATTGCTTAATAATGAACTAAATAATTCAACTATTCGATTATAAATTCTATGTGAATTAAAAAAAAGACTACCAGAAAGAAAAGGTCCAAACATGGTCAACACTAAAGGAATCCTCATCTACTGTCCACAATTGAATAAATTAAACTCTGATTATTCACTTTTTGCCCACAAACATCACTCCTGTCGCCGTGATGCATTTTCAATTTCCTCAACAATGACGGGAAACACACAACAATCTACTTGCTTAATCTGAACTTGGGCAGTAAGGGTTAAACACGGAGAGAAAGGTGAACAGAAATAACTCTTACATGCAGCTTCAACTGTCAGAAGAAACCTGTCCTTGCAAGGAGCATGCTCATTAGCAGCAGGAGGAGCTGGAGTGGCAAGCTAGAAACGGTTTCCACCCCAGGAGTTAAGAGTGACTTCTAATTAAGGTCCTTCATAAACGGCCAACAAAGCACATTTTTTCCCAGTATGCTCTTTCTTGAGGGCATAAATCTAGTCTGCATATACCCACACAGGAGCTGCCACACTCCCATACTGGGTTCACAGTTCTTGTTACTCACCAACTGCCCATTTCCTCTGCCTATGTTTAACAGAACGAGAGAGAAATCGTATCAGATCTTCTAAGTCTAAGAAAAGTTTGATCAAGAATCATCATGTGATCTTATGAGAAAGGAAAATCTTAAGATAAAGTACTTTACCTACCAGCTCCTTAGGTTTGAAGGTAACCACTGCTTAATTTGTGACAGAGAAACAAGTACAGAGATTTTTAAAACACCCATCTTCTGAGGAGGGAAACTCTTCTAATTATACTTTCCTAGCCAATTGCAGAAAGCAGTGGTAAGACTCTCAATTTAGGAACACAGTTTAACTGGAAAGCTTGACTGGAGACAACAAACAGAGCTACTTCTTTTAAAATTCTGTTTTGTCTCTGACAGAAATTCACATTTGTTCCTTACAGTCACTGTTCTTGTCTTTATTACTCATGTTCTCTCCTGAAAATTTCCAAATAAATCGTGTCAGGCCTGTCAGAGTTGAATCCCAATCTCTCTTAATCTCCCATCACTGTGCAGCTGGCAGGAGGCACACACCCAGGGCTGCTAACCATGACTGTGGCCTTCTGACATCTCAGACAGGCCCTTAGCCTTCTGGACAACCCAACACTCAAAATTTAGATTAGGAGAATAGGAGAAGCAAAGTGGCAACAAAGAGAGGGAAGCCTTCCTCATTCGCTTCACCCACACCTTCCCTCACCTGTAAGAAAGAAAGATGAATCTGTTTAATCTCAGGCTGTATGACAGCTTTTGAGGCACTCAATCAGTTTTTTTAGAACCTA